CAATACGTGTGCAGATGTGAAACGACGCCGGACGTGCGGTTGTCGGGGAAAGAGGGATTGGTCACTGCAGGTGCGCAGCGGCAGGGGCAAACACGCCCGCACGTCCACTGCCAACACGGACCGAGTGAACAGAGAAGCAAATCACCTTCTCCGCGAAGAGAGCACTAAAAAGCGATCCTATATGATAAAAGCGTTTTCGTGCTGAAAGGCAAGAAAAGTAAAATAGCGAATGGGAGGGAGGCGGCAGCGATGCGGGCCAGCAGGGCCGCCGCTCTCTCGACCTTCGCAGCAGCCACGGCCAGCCGCACTCACGCGGCTGTCGCGTCTTGCCCATCTCGACCATCACCTCGGTGTGTGCGTGGTCAGTCAAAATAAACACATGGACCAGAGCGCACGCAGGGAGGTAAGAGGGAAGAGGGAGAGAGAGGTCAAAGGTCAGCACACAGCTGCGACAGGCGAACTGCAAATGCGGGTGCAGCGCCCTAACGTTGGAATGTGTCCTACGGCACGGAGGGAACCCTGCTCGCGTGCGTCTCGTCGCTTAGTTCCAGGTGGCGCCAAAGCACGGCGTCCACACGGCACCGCCCATGTTCTGCCTCGGCGGTGTAGGTGACGTACAGCATGCCGTCGTCCGCCTGCTTGCACGCGTCGTGCAGCTCGCCAAGCGTCGTCGTCGGCGCAACGGCGCACTGCGCCACCGCAAGCGACACCGCCTTCCTCGCGTCGACGCCGTCGAGGCGGCGCACCGCGCTCGTCAGCTGCGCAACCGTCGCGTCGCGCGGCAGCACGCTGAAGTGCGCCTTGCCGCCCTGCGCGCTCTCCACCACAACGGGCACGTCGCAGCTCCCGGCGTTCAGGCTCGCGCGCTTCGCGATGCGCTCCTCCACGCGGGTCGACGACACGTAGGCGGACATGGCGGTATGGGGGAGGGTCGGGTAGGGTAGGGGGGTCAGAGAAAGAGAGCTTGTAAGTGCGTTCGTGACTCGTTGGAGGTAGAGAGCGGTTTTTTGACGAGACAAAACTTCAGAAGAACGGCTGCAGTAGGCGAGCTGAGTGAAGCTGCCGCCGTACGCGGACGATGAAGGAGGAAGGGAGAGAGGGGGAGAGGGGGAGAGGGGAGAGAAGTATGAGGGCATCTGCCGCATAGAGGGAGCAGCGAGGCTCAGCACCGGAGAGCCTCTGGACGCAGCAGCACTGGCATAACGTCGTCCGTGCCTCAGCTGCGTTGCGCACTCAAAGCCTGCCTCTGCAAATCCAGTGGACCGGCGAGACGAAAAGTGGCGACGGCAAATTGGGTGGACGTCCCACGGGGAATTGCCGGCGTTCGAAGAGTGCCGTCGCGCAGCAGGAGGCCACCTATCGCAGTCGCGGTTTTGAAAGAAGCGATAAATAAACGATTATACACATGAGCTGAAAGAAAGCTGGAGAGGAACAAAAAAAAATAGTTAAAGAATGCGAGAGTGTGTTGCTGCTTTGTCCACGCAGCTACCCGTGTTTGGGCAATACGTGTGCAGATGTGAAACGACGCCGGACGTGCGGTTGTCGGGGAAAGAGGGATTGGTCACTGCAGGTGCGCAGCGGCAGGGGCAAACACGCCCGCACGTCCACTGCCAACACGGACCGAGTGAACAGAGAAGCAAATCACCTTCTCCGCGAAGAGAGCACTAAAAAGCGATCCTATATGATAAAAGCGTTTTCGTGCTGAAAGGCAAGAAAAGTAAAATAGCGAATGGGAGGGAGGCGGCAGCGATGCGGGCCAGCAGGGCCGCCGCTCTCTCGACCTTCGCAGCAGCCACGGCCAGCCGCACTCACGCGGCTGTCGCGTCTTGCCCATCTCGACCATCACCTCGGTGTGTGCGTGGTCAGTCAAAATAAACACATGGACCAGAGCGCACGCAGGGAGGTAAGAGGGAAGAGGGAGAGAGAGGTCAAAGGTCAGCACACAGCTGCGACAGGCGAACTGCAAATGCGGGTGCAGCGCCCTAACGTTGGAATGTGTCCTACGGCACGGAGGGAACCCTGCTCGCGTGCGTCTCGTCGCTTAGTTCCAGGTGGCGCCAAAGCACGGCGTCCACACGGCACCGCCCATGTTCTGCCTCGGCGGTGTAGGTGACGTACAGCATGCCGTCGTCCGCCTGCTTGCACGCGTCGTGCAGCTCGCCAAGCGTCGTCGTCGGCGCAACGGCGCACTGCGCCACCGCAAGCGACACCGCCTTCCTCGCGTCGACGCCGTCGAGGCGGCGCACCGCGCTCGTCAGCTGCGCAACCGTCGCGTCGCGCGGCAGCACGCTGAAGTGCGCCTTGCCGCCCTGCGCGCTCTCCACCACAACGGGCACGTCGCAGCTCCCGGCGTTCAGGCTCGCGCGCTTCGCGATGCGCTCCTCCACGCGGGTCGACGACACGTAGGCGGACATGGCGGTATGGGGGAGGGTCGGGTAGGGTAGGGGGGTCAGAGAAAGAGAGCTTGTAAGTGCGTTCGTGACTCGTTGGAGGTAGAGAGCGGTTTTTTGACGAGACAAAACTTCAGAAGAACGGCTGCAGTAGGCGAGCTGAGTGAAGCTGCCGCCGTACGCGGACGATGAAGGAGGAAGGGAGAGAGGGGGAGAGGGGGAGAGGGGAGAGAAGTATGAGGGCATCTGCCGCATAGAGGGAGCAGCGAGGCTCAGCACCGGAGAGCCTCTGGACGCAGCAGCACTGGCATAACGTCGTCCGTGCCTCAGCTGCGTTGCGCACTCAAAGCCTGCCTCTGCAAATCCAGTGGACCGGCGAGACGAAAAGTGGCGACGGCAAATTGGGTGGACGTCCCACGGGGAATTGCCGGCGTTCGAAGAGTGCCGTCGCGCAGCAGGAGGCCACCTATCGCAGTCGCGGTTTTGAAAGAAGCGATAAATAAACGATTATACACATGAGCTGAAAGAAAGCTGGAGAGGAACAAAAAAAAATAGTTAAAGAATGCGAGAGTGTGTTGCTGCTTTGTCCACGCAGCTACCCGTGTTTGGGCAATACGTGTGCAGATGTGAAACGACGCCGGACGTGCGGTTGTCGGGGAAAGAGGGATTGGTCACTGCAGGTGCGCAGCGGCAGGGGCAAACACGCCCGCACGTCCACTGCCAACACGGACCGAGTGAACAGAGAAGCAAATCACCTTCTCCGCGAAGAGAGCACTAAAAAGCGATCCTATATGATAAAAGCGTTTTCGTGCTGAAAGGCAAGAAAAGTAAAATAGCGAATGGGAGGGAGGCGGCAGCGATGCGGGCCAGCAGGGCCGCCGCTCTCTCGACCTTCGCAGCAGCCACGGCCAGCCGCACTCACGCGGCTGTCGCGTCTTGCCCATCTCGACCATCACCTCGGTGTGTGCGTGGTCAGTCAAAATAAACACATGGACCAGAGCGCACGCAGGGAGGTAAGAGGGAAGAGGGAGAGAGAGGTCAAAGGTCAGCACACAGCTGCGACAGGCGAACTGCAAATGCGGGTGCAGCGCCCTAACGTTGGAATGTGTCCTACGGCACGGAGGGAACCCTGCTCGCGTGCGTCTCGTCGCTTAGTTCCAGGTGGCGCCAAAGCACGGCGTCCACACGGCACCGCCCATGTTCTGCCTCGGCGGTGTAGGTGACGTACAGCATGCCGTCGTCCGCCTGCTTGCACGCGTCGTGCAGCTCGCCAAGCGTCGTCGTCGGCGCAACGGCGCACTGCGCCACCGCAAGCGACACCGCCTTCCTCGCGTCGACGCCGTCGAGGCGGCGCACCGCGCTCGTCAGCTGCGCAACCGTCGCGTCGCGCGGCAGCACGCTGAAGTGCGCCTTGCCGCCCTGCGCGCTCTCCACCACAACGGGCACGTCGCAGCTCCCGGCGTTCAGGCTCGCGCGCTTCGCGATGCGCTCCTCCACGCGGGTCGACGACACGTAGGCGGACATGGCGGTATGGGGGAGGGTCGGGTAGGGTAGGGGGGTCAGAGAAAGAGAGCTTGTAAGTGCGTTCGTGACTCGTTGGAGGTAGAGAGCGGTTTTTTGACGAGACAAAACTTCAGAAGAACGGCTGCAGTAGGCGAGCTGAGTGAAGCTGCCGCCGTACGCGGACGATGAAGGAGGAAGGGAGAGAGGGGGAGAGGGGGAGAGGGGAGAGAAGTATGAGGGCATCTGCCGCATAGAGGGAGCAGCGAGGCTCAGCACCGGAGAGCCTCTGGACGCAGCAGCACTGGCATAACGTCGTCCGTGCCTCAGCTGCGTTGCGCACTCAAAGCCTGCCTCTGCAAATCCAGTGGACCGGCGAGACGAAAAGTGGCGACGGCAAATTGGGTGGACGTCCCACGGGGAATTGCCGGCGTTCGAAGAGTGCCGTCGCGCAGCAGGAGGCCACCTATCGCAGTCGCGGTTTTGAAAGAAGCGATAAATAAACGATTATACACATGAGCTGAAAGAAAGCTGGAGAGGAACAAAAAAAAATAGTTAAAGAATGCGAGAGTGTGTTGCTGCTTTGTCCACGCAGCTACCCGTGTTTGGGCAATACGTGTGCAGATGTGAAACGACGCCGGACGTGCGGTTGTCGGGGAAAGAGGGATTGGTCACTGCAGGTGCGCAGCGGCAGGGGCAAACACGCCCGCACGTCCACTGCCAACACGGACCGAGTGAACAGAGAAGCAAATCACCTTCTCCGCGAAGAGAGCACTAAAAAGCGATCCTATATGATAAAAGCGTTTTCGTGCTGAAAGGCAAGAAAAGTAAAATAGCGAATGGGAGGGAGGCGGCAGCGATGCGGGCCAGCAGGGCCGCCGCTCTCTCGACCTTCGCAGCAGCCACGGCCAGCCGCACTCACGCGGCTGTCGCGTCTTGCCCATCTCGACCATCACCTCGGTGTGTGCGTGGTCAGTCAAAATAAACACATGGACCAGAGCGCACGCAGGGAGGTAAGAGGGAAGAGGGAGAGAGAGGTCAAAGGTCAGCACACAGCTGCGACAGGCGAACTGCAAATGCGGGTGCAGCGCCCTAACGTTGGAATGTGTCCTACGGCACGGAGGGAACCCTGCTCGCGTGCGTCTCGTCGCTTAGTTCCAGGTGGCGCCAAAGCACGGCGTCCACACGGCACCGCCCATGTTCTGCCTCGGCGGTGTAGGTGACGTACAGCATGCCGTCGTCCGCCTGCTTGCACGCGTCGTGCAGCTCGCCAAGCGTCGTCGTCGGCGCAACGGCGCACTGCGCCACCGCAAGCGACACCGCCTTCCTCGCGTCGACGCCGTCGAGGCGGCGCACCGCGCTCGTCAGCTGCGCAACCGTCGCGTCGCGCGGCAGCACGCTGAAGTGCGCCTTGCCGCCCTGCGCGCTCTCCACCACAACGGGCACGTCGCAGCTCCCGGCGTTCAGGCTCGCGCGCTTCGCGATGCGCTCCTCCACGCGGGTCGACGACACGTAGGCGGACATGGCGGTATGGGGGAGGGTCGGGTAGGGTAGGGGGGTCAGAGAAAGAGAGCTTGTAAGTGCGTTCGTGACTCGTTGGAGGTAGAGAGCGGTTTTTTGACGAGACAAAACTTCAGAAGAACGGCTGCAGTAGGCGAGCTGAGTGAAGCTGCCGCCGTACGCGGACGATGAAGGAGGAAGGGAGAGAGGGGGAGAGGGGGAGAGGGGAGAGAAGTATGAGGGCATCTGCCGCATAGAGGGAGCAGCGAGGCTCAGCACCGGAGAGCCTCTGGACGCAGCAGCACTGGCATAACGTCGTCCGTGCCTCAGCTGCGTTGCGCACTCAAAGCCTGCCTCTGCAAATCCAGTGGACCGGCGAGACGAAAAGTGGCGACGGCAAATTGGGTGGACGTCCCACGGGGAATTGCCGGCGTTCGAAGAGTGCCGTCGCGCAGCAGGAGGCCACCTATCGCAGTCGCGGTTTTGAAAGAAGCGATAAATAAACGATTATACACATGAGCTGAAAGAAAGCTGGAGAGGAACAAAAAAAAATAGTTAAAGAATGCGAGAGTGTGTTGCTGCTTTGTCCACGCAGCTACCCGTGTTTGGGCAATACGTGTGCAGATGTGAAACGACGCCGGACGTGCGGTTGTCGGGGAAAGAGGGATTGGTCACTGCAGGTGCGCAGCGGCAGGGGCAAACACGCCCGCACGTCCACTGCCAACACGGACCGAGTGAACAGAGAAGCAAATCACCTTCTCCGCGAAGAGAGCACTAAAAAGCGATCCTATATGATAAAAGCGTTTTCGTGCTGAAAGGCAAGAAAAGTAAAATAGCGAATGGGAGGGAGGCGGCAGCGATGCGGGCCAGCAGGGCCGCCGCTCTCTCGACCTTCGCAGCAGCCACGGCCAGCCGCACTCACGCGGCTGTCGCGTCTTGCCCATCTCGACCATCACCTCGGTGTGTGCGTGGTCAGTCAAAATAAACACATGGACCAGAGCGCACGCAGGGAGGTAAGAGGGAAGAGGGAGAGAGAGGTCAAAGGTCAGCACACAGCTGCGACAGGCGAACTGCAAATGCGGGTGCAGCGCCCTAACGTTGGAATGTGTCCTACGGCACGGAGGGAACCCTGCTCGCGTGCGTCTCGTCGCTTAGTTCCAGGTGGCGCCAAAGCACGGCGTCCACACGGCACCGCCCATGTTCTGCCTCGGCGGTGTAGGTGACGTACAGCATGCCGTCGTCCGCCTGCTTGCACGCGTCGTGCAGCTCGCCAAGCGTCGTCGTCGGCGCAACGGCGCACTGCGCCACCGCAAGCGACACCGCCTTCCTCGCGTCGACGCCGTCGAGGCGGCGCACCGCGCTCGTCAGCTGCGCAACCGTCGCGTCGCGCGGCAGCACGCTGAAGTGCGCCTTGCCGCCCTGCGCGCTCTCCACCACAACGGGCACGTCGCAGCTCCCGGCGTTCAGGCTCGCGCGCTTCGCGATGCGCTCCTCCACGCGGGTCGACGACACGTAGGCGGACATGGCGGTATGGGGGAGGGTCGGGTAGGGTAGGGGGGGTTGATGAGAGAGAGTTTGGTGGGTGCGGAGGCTGGAGAGCAGATCTGTGTGGTGCGGTGTGCCGCCGCGGCAGTGCAGGCGCAAGAGAGGGGGATGGAGGGAGAGAAGACGAGGGGGGCGGTGGGGGAGGTGGACACGCACAAAGACGGGGAGGGAGGGAGAACGCGGTGCAGGAGAGGCAGCACCCACGCTGCTCCGGCAGAGGCACCGCGCAGGGGCAGTGCGAGGGGGCAGCTGGCCGCCGTGCTGCAGAAGCAGTGGCGGGCAGCAGCAGCAGCAGCAGCAGCAAGAGCAGACGCTCCACCACAGACGAGAAGAGTTCGTCCCGTCGCCACCACTGATGCAGTTGGAGTACCGCAGCCGCAACGCGGCATCGTACAATACGTAGCGACGTAGTAAAGCAAAAAGACATGTGCACAGCGAGAAAAGAAAAACGAGAAAACACGGTTCCTGCAACGTCTGCTCCGCTCTCCGCGTGCGACCGCCGTGACACACACCGACCGCACGGCTCCGCACCGGGGGCACCAAAGGGGAGGCTCGGCTCCATCAAAAGCAGAAGCGGGAAGAGTCGGACGAAGCGGAGAGAGAGAGTAGGACGAATGAGATTCGAAAACAACAAAAAAAAAGGAATAGCAAGAGAAAAGGCAAAGCGAGTGGCGGCAGGCCGCAGCAGCGGCAGCGAGTGCACAAGCACCTACGACGACGTGCTGCGCGCACTCGCCGCTGTCCACGCCCTCGCTGCACCGCTTGGCCGCACGCTGAGATGTGTGCACACTTCTGTTCAGAACGCAGCTACGTACACGCCTGCGGGTGGGTACGAGCAGCACCCCCCACCACGTCACATTAAGGGAAATCGGCAATCCGGCAAACAAGAAATACACATGACGGTGGCGCAGAGAGCCGCTCACGAGGAGACGGGAGGGGATGGCTTTGCACGCGTTGCTTTAGGTTGCGACGGGCGCTCCACAGCCGTCAACTGTCCACGGCGCACTACCAGGCAGCAGTCATGCCGCACACGTTCACGGTGGCACCCATGGCGGCCTCGGCGGTGTAGGTGACGTACAGCATGCCGTCGTCCGCCTGCTTGCACGCGTCGTGCAGCTCGCCAAGCGTCGTCGTCGGCGCAACGGCGCACTGCGCCACCGCAAGCGACACCGCCTTCCTCGCGTCGACGCCGTCGAGGCGGCGCACCGCGCTCGTCAGCTGCGCAACCGTCGCGTCGCGCGGCAGCACGCTGAAGTGCGCCTTGCCGCCCTGCGCGCTCTCCACCACAACGGGCACGTCGCAGCTCCCGGCGTTCAGGCTCGCGCGCTTCGCGATGCGCTCCTCCACGCGGGTCGACGACACGTAGGCGGACATGGCGGTATGGGGGAGGGTCGGGTAGGGTAGGGGGGGGTTGATGAGAGAGAGTTTGGTGGGTGCGGAGGCTGGAGAGCAGATCTGTGTGGTGCGGTGTGCCGCCGCGGCAGTGCAGGCGCAAGAGAGGGGGATGGAGGGAGAGAAGACGAGGGGGGCGGTGGGGGAGGTGGACACGCACAAAGACGGGGAGGGAGGGAGAACGCGGTGCAGGAGAGGCAGCACCCACGCTGCTCCGGCAGAGGCACCGCGCAGGGGCAGTGCGAGGGGGCAGCTGGCCGCCGTGCTGCAGAAGCAGTGGCGGGCAGCAGCAGCAGCAGCAGCAGCAAGAGCAGACGCTCCACCACAGACGAGAAGAGTTCGTCCCGTCGCCACCACTGATGCAGTTGGAGTACCGCAGCCGCAACGCGGCATCGTACAATACGTAGCGACGTAGTAAAGCAAAAAGACATGTGCACAGCGAGAAAAGAAAAACGAGAAAACACGGTTCCTGCAACGTCTGCTCCGCTCTCCGCGTGCGACCGCCGTGACACACACCGACCGCACGGCTCCGCACCGGGGGCACCAAAGGGGAGGCTCGGCTCCATCAAAAGCAGAAGCGGGAAGAGTCGGACGAAGCGGAGAGAGAGAGTAGGACGAATGAGATTCGAAAACAACAAAAAAAAAGGAATAGCAAGAGAAAAGGCAAAGCGAGTGGCGGCAGGCCGCAGCAGCGGCAGCGAGTGCACAAGCACCTACGACGACGTGCTGCGCGCACTCGCCGCTGTCCACGCCCTCGCTGCACCGCTTGGCCGCACGCTGAGATGTGTGCACACTTCTGTTCAGAACGCAGCTACGTACACGCCTGCGGGTGGGTACGAGCAGCACCCCCCACCACGTCACATTAAGGGAAATCGGCAATCCGGCAAACAAGAAATACACATGACGGTGGCGCAGAGAGCCGCTCACGAGGAGACGGGAGGGGATGGCTTTGCACGCGTTGCTTTAGGTTGCGACGGGCGCTCCACAGCCGTCAACTGTCCACGGCGCACTACCAGGCAGCAGTCATGCCGCACACGTTCACGGTGGCACCCATGGCGGCCTCGGCGGTGTAGGTGACGTACAGCATGCCGTCGTCCGCCTGCTTGCACGCGTCGTGCAGCTCGCCAAGCGTCGTCGTCGGCGCAACGGCGCACTGCGCCACCGCAAGCGACACCGCCTTCCTCGCGTCGACGCCGTCGAGGCGGCGCACCGCGCTCGTCAGCTGCGCAACCGTCGCGTCGCGCGGCAGCACGCTGAAGTGCGCCTTGCCGCCCTGCGCGCTCTCCACCACAACGGGCACGTCGCAGCTCCCGGCGTTCAGGCTCGCGCGCTTCGCGATGCGCTCCTCCACGCGGGTCGACGACACGTAGGCGGACATGGCGGTATGGGGGAGGGTCGGGTAGGGTAGGGGGGGGTTGATGAGAGAGAGTTTGGTGGGTGCGGAGGCTGGAGAGCAGATCTGTGTGGTGCGGTGTGCCGCCGCGGCAGTGCAGGCGCAAGAGAGGGGGATGGAGGGAGAGAAGACGAGGGGGGCGGTGGGGGAGGTGGACACGCACAAAGACGGGGAGGGAGGGAGAACGCGGTGCAGGAGAGGCAGCACCCACGCTGCTCCGGCAGAGGCACCGCGCAGGGGCAGTGCGAGGGGGCAGCTGGCCGCCGTGCTGCAGAAGCAGTGGCGGGCAGCAGCAGCAGCAGCAGCAGCAAGAGCAGACGCTCCACCACAGACGAGAAGAGTTCGTCCCGTCGCCACCACTGATGCAGTTGGAGTACCGCAGCCGCAACGCGGCATCGTACAATACGTAGCGACGTAGTAAAGCAAAAAGACATGTGCACAGCGAGAAAAGAAAAACGAGAAAACACGGTTCCTGCAACGTCTGCTCCGCTCTCCGCGTGCGACCGCCGTGACACACACCGACCGCACGGCTCCGCACCGGGGGCACCAAAGGGGAGGCTCGGCTCCATCAAAAGCAGAAGCGGGAAGAGTCGGACGAAGCGGAGAGAGAGAGTAGGACGAATGAGATTCGAAAACAACAAAAAAAAAGGAATAGCAAGAGAAAAGGCAAAGCGAGTGGCGGCAGGCCGCAGCAGCGGCAGCGAGTGCACAAGCACCTACGACGACGTGCTGCGCGCACTCGCCGCTGTCCACGCCCTCGCTGCACCGCTTGGCCGCACGCTGAGATGTGTGCACACTTCTGTTCAGAACGCAGCTACGTACACGCCTGCGGGTGGGTACG